TTTTAAAATGCTTATACCAGTTGTAAGTTTGTGTCTGGCCTAAACTGTTTTCACCAAATGCTTGCTTTAACATTTGGTGCGTTTCTGCAGCGTTTTTCCCAAGTTTGAAACAAAACTTTATACAGACACGCTGCTCTCTCAGGTCGGCCATTGCAAAACCGCAAACTCACGGAAACACATCAATGGAAATACATTCACCAACAATAAACCCAACCACTCAACTCGACGCTGCATGCCACACTGATTCAAGAAGGATGTGTGAGGAGACACCTAGCGGTATTTCGATGTACTCATAACCATTCGCGCACAAAATTCAAATTTCGGTAACTTTTGGATTGCCCCACATATACACAGAAAAATTCTAATTAACTGACCTAAAGTGAACTGTGAAGGGCGGTCAGATAACTAGAAATGTTGGATAATATGAATAATATTAAAAGCTTGCAGCAAATATCGACACAGCGTCATTCACACCTGTATTATGAAACAGTAGCATGGAAATAATATTTAGTTGTTACCAATAAATTACTAGTGAAGAAGTTACATAAATGGTAAAGTCTTATAGTTCATTCTTTAAAGAAACATATGATTGAAGTTTGTTTTCCATCTTCCTTCCTTGGATGACACAGAATGTTGGATAACTGTAGGTTAAATAATTAAGGTTCTACTATGTATTCGTATATAAAGTGTATGCATTATGGTTTGTAGTTGTGAATTCATCATTCAGGTTGGATTGTTATCAGGTGGCAAATGTGGAAGCCTTCCTGTTTGAAGTGTTATAGTTTGGAAGGATTGCTATAGAACACTGAAATTATTGTCATGTGATGACTGCTAAGCCGTAGTTTCTGTCAGATTTTGCAAATGGTACTATAAATTTCTGTCATGAATGCAAGAAGTTTTACATAGCTCTCTTAACCCATACATTTGTTGGACTTACACGCTACAGTGTTAAAAGAAATTTACCTAAATTAAATAAGCTAGTTATGCATAATGAAATTGCCCATGACTATTGCATCTCAGTTTCACTTTTGTATACGTTGTCACATAGTGGTGTGAATATTACTTGTATTGTTCACATAATATTGCTGTGATTAAGGCAATGTGGATGATGGGCTGGCCATGATTGATCTGGTTTTCGTAGGGTTCAGTGGCTGGTTTTGGTGAACATATTAAATCTTTGTGTTCATTAAAGTGGGGTGACTTCTTGACCAACAGAACCATCAACTTCTGAAAGAAGACTGTACCGTGGAGTTACTGAAACAATGTGTTTTTCCTTTCATCGACTAGCCTATGTGTTGGGACATATATTGAAGATAAAATGATTTATTGTTGGGCTAGTTAATAATGTTTTATAATACAGTGAGGCAGATGATGGTGCATTAGAGTTCACAAATTGTAGGGAGGGTGGAGGCTGTGTCTGCTCTATCCAAAAGAGTTCAGAATGAAAATACTGTTGCTTGGAACTAAATAATTTGTATGAATACTTTCCAAATGAAGAAATTTAACAGTTTTACAAGTGGAATGGATCACATTCTGCCTTGTCCAAAAATGGAAGAAGTCTGGGTTCAGTCACATACCATGAGGAAAATGTAACTTTAGTTATATGAAATGGACCATCAGTACAACAGAAGGGAGGATATCATTCAGGTGTAGACAAAATATGAAATTTGCCTCATGATGACCTAAGTAAAGGTCGAAACATACAGGGTGATTCAATAAGTTTTACCCACACTTAGGGAGGGCATTCCTGAGGTAATTTGGAACAAAATATTTTAATATACTAATGGTATCCAACTCATAATTAAAGAGATACAGTAATTTGAAAACTGGCGAAAAATCTTTTTTTCTTCGAATTTCAGTCAAAACACATTAGAAATACAATACATACACTTTTTAAATCGTTAATATTTTAGGAAAGAAGCATTCTAAAACCAAAATCTTTTTCAATTTCTTAATTTTGCATTGTGCAACATTTTTCATCGATTTTATGTTACAAAATTACATTATTTTCAGCATCCCATTCTGTAAACATACCAATGGTTGCATATCACACCCTTCTATCAATCAGTTTCCTTTAAACTGTAGTGCTTTAGAAGTCGACTGGATTTACATAAGATTTTCAAAAATGTCTCCCTGCATGTCAACACAACGCGTCACACACATATGAACCACGCTCGTGACATTTCTCAGTTCCACACATTTGTTCCTTATTATCATTGCTGTGTCCAAAATACGTTCAGGCAATGCTTCACGTGTTTGTACCTTTACCTGGTACACAATGCCCTTCATCCAGCCCCAAATGCAATAATCTAACGGCTTAGATCTGGCGACCTGGGAGGCCAGGCGTTACGGCCTCTGCGACCAGTCCACTGCTGTGGGAAATGCTGATCCAAGTGAGCTGCTATTGCGTGGGAGAAGTGAGGAGGCGCCCCATCATGCTGGAAGTACATCCGGCGTCTTGTTGCCAGAGGAACATCTTCAAGTAACCGTGGTAATTCTTCTAAGAAGTGGAGGTAAATCTCACCAGTTAAGCGGCCAGTTAAGCTGATCATACAGAACACAACACCAAACATTGACACTGAATCAGTGTTGAAAATTTGATTCTATCGTGGCATGGGGATTATTGTGTGCGAAAACATGTAAGTTATGACCATTGTTGACCCAGTCCCATGTAAACTGTGCCTCATTGCAGAACATTATCAAGTGGTACAACTGCCAATTTCCATTTAACCAGTTGCAGAACTGCAGACGAAGAGCACGGTCTCCTGGTTGTATGTGTTGTACTTGCTGTAAATGTTAAGGATGCAGCCTGTTCTCATGAAGAGTCCTCCACGCCATGGACTGAGAAACACCGAACCGCTAAGCTAGAAATCTTGTACTGCCACGTGGACTGTGCTGTACAGCATCGAGAATGTTTTCTTCTTTGCACAATTCATGTTGAGGATTTCGTTCGTATTGTATACGAACGCTGGGGAGAGAACCAGTTTGTCTTAATGTGTTGAATGTACTGCTAATGGATTTATGATTCAGAATCCTGCGATTAGGATAACGCCAGTGATATTCGGCAGCAGCAGCTCTCGCATTTCCATCACATACACCCAAAACAAACACCATATTGGCGTATTCCTCAGTGGAAAATGTGTATGGCATCTTAACTTCACAAAGTCACCAACACAACGTCCTGTTTCCTACTGGATCACTCTGCCTACCTACGTGCAACATTCTGGTCTGCCTTATCTGCTGACACAGCTGACTGGAACGCATGGTCNTGTATACGAACGCTGGGGAGAGAACCAGTTTGTCTTAATGTGTTGAATGTACTGCTAATGGATTTATGATTCAGAATCCTGCGATTAGGATAACGCCAGTGATATTCGGCAGCAGCAGCTCTCGCATTTCCATCACATACACCCAAAACAAACACCATATTGGCGTATTCCTCAGTGGAAAATGTGTATGGCATCTTAACTTCACAAAGTCACCAACACAACGTCCTGTTTCCTACTGGATCACTCTGCCTACCTACGTGCAACATTCTGGTCTGCCTTATCTGCTGACACAGCTGACTGGAACGCATGGTCACCCAGGCGGGAAACATAGCACTGCATTCACAATGATGCGTTTCGAAAATCTATTGTTACTCCATAACTATTGAAAATCGACCACAAGTTTATAAGGAAATTTTGCAGGAAATAACGCCAGAAATATGTACCATAAGCCGGGGTAAAACTTCGTGAATCACTCTGTATAGCATACACCTGCTTACAGTAAATGAGTAAGAGATGCCACAACGCCTATTTTGTCTCCACCTGGAAGATATCCTTCCTTTTGTTGTGTTGATGGCCCAGTTCGCATAACTATTGAATAAATGACAAAATGCAATCCATAAAGTTTAAAAAGTAACTTGTTTTGAATTCAGTAGATAATTGGTTTGGAAAGCAAGTGTTAGGGAATTTTATTATGGTTGTATGCAGTACTTACTCACGGTATTATTGCATGATCTCTGCAGTGGATGCATTACCATTGGACATAGTACAGATATTTTTATGTTAGTGTCTTTCCATGTAAAATTAACATAGCAGTTAGCATGGTATGCTTATTGGAAATCACTTGGCCAGACGTCTTAGGGCACACACATTTTGTGCCTCAAATATTAAGAAACATATTGTTATGTGTTAGTGACTAGACACTAGCTTTGGTGCAGACCGAATAGAAAACACCATGTCTGTTGTGTGGTTGTCTTTTGCTACAGAAATGTGTTTATTGCACTGTTGGCCAATAGTGGCCGCTGCCTCTTGTTGCACTATTCTGCCTTTCAGCCATTATGCTACAATGTTCATAAAGTGTATTTTAAACATTGTTAAATAGTTTTTAGATGACAAACAGTTTATATTGATCATAAAGAAATAATGGAGGTTAACACCCACAAGCCTCGCAGTAATGGTTTGCAAAATGGTTGGGTGAGTCATTGAGATGTATGGGTTTGATGGTTCAAGACAATTATGAATCATGTGATTGTGATCATAGAGAAGGGAATGAATGGGTTGAAAACTCAAGAATGTTGAGTTTTGCATTTATATCCATTGAAGTTAGTAAAATTTTACTAGAGGTATTTGCTGGATCTTTTGGCTGTAACTTGTTAAAATAATTATGTGATTCTGAGGCTCTGGTTTCTCACATAGTAGTAGATGTGCAGAAGAGGTTTTCATAGCTAGGCTATATATTCCATCACCTCTAGCATTTCTCAATTACCTCACACTGAGTACTCTATTCCCCCTTTTCCCTGTCACTCGTGATTGGTCAGGAAGTAGTTTGCATTAAAATGAAATACGAGTATTTCAAACTCTTTTATATGGAACACCTGTACTTTTATTCTTCGTTTTAGCTTCAAGGGTGAACCATAATGGCAGAAATATGACTTCTGACAAGTTTGCTGCTGTGTGTACTGGCTGAAAAATTGCACTGAATTGGCCTGTACATTACTATTGTTTTGTCATCAGGAAATGAGAAGGCGGAGAAATGAGGTCACAGTTGAGCTTAGAAAGAACAAGAGAGAAGAGACATTGCAGAAGCGACGGAATGTTCCAGTAGCAGACTCTACAGGTGTGTGTTCAAATTGTTTCTAGTTTTGTATGTGTCTGTTTGAGCCAGTAATTTTCAAATGTACTATCAGGAGGGAGTGTGGTGTGTGGATCTGGAGACAGTTTGAGGGGTTTTTTTTATTGCTATTGGGGTGGGACCAAGTCCCTTGTACTGCAGCCACTTCTGGCATATTGTAGCAGCCCCAGATG